AAACACAATGCCAGCCATGGCAAAAGATATTTAATGCCTGTGACATTCCATTTAAATTTATATTTACTTACCTGCTGAAGAGAGTTGTTTCCACATATTATTTTTCAAATGTTAGCGTTTAGCAAATCCTTTTTCCTTTATTTTTTTGTTAATAAGTCATGGTAGCTAGGAAATATTTGATAAAGCAGTAAGTCTGCTGTATCTCCTACCAGAAAGAATAATAATAAAAAAAAAAAGCCAAAAGCCAAACAAATCATTACAATGTACTGCACTGAAAAGAAAATATGGCTTGGCTCTCATTTCCATATGATTTCATTGCAAGGAGAGTAAGTGCTCTAAGGCATAGATATCATAAGTAAAGCACCAGATGAGAAACCGAAAGGTATCCCCTGTAATGAGTTTTGTAGAAGCAACTGAGGTCATCCACATTTTTAGCTGTTACGTTCACTCGGCCATTTGTGGAAAAACAAAACAAAACCAGACAATCTTACATATTGTCCTTAGGGAATAAGTCCACACAACTATGGAAGTCTGTGCATCATGTACATACGTATTTTACACAAACTCACATTTTTGTTTTAGCCTTATGGGGAAAAAAATCTTATAATGATTTAAGTTTAAAAAGTAAAATTCAAATATCCTGTATTCTGATTACTCAAGAGCAGTGAGTACCACTTGGTACAACTGAGCAAGGTCAGACTTACTTTTGTTTCCTGAATCTCATTCTAGATAATATCAGTGCACTTCTACAAATGATAGCTATTTTCCAGTCACAATGTCAGAATGTCTAATGACATTTAAAAAATTTAAAGTATTTTAATTACTTTAAATATAAAACAGATATGTAGTTGCCCAATACCATCTTTCCCTGCTTAGCTTTCTTTCTTCCTATGATTAATAACTTGCATTTATTTTATAACATATTTTTAGCAGTCTTTCCCCTCCCAACTTTTCTTTCTCTTGCTGTCTTCACTCTTTTGCTCTCTTGTACTTTATTTTCTTCCTTCCCGTCTCCTCCTCCTACCCATTTTCACTCTCACTTCTAATGATCTGATTTTACCTCTTTATATTTATTTTCTACTTCAAATAGTTATAGACTCAGTTCTGTAGTATAAAAAAATGGTGAAGCAAAGCCTTGAACACATTAATTTAATTAACACTCACAATACTTGTAAGTTAGGTATTCTTATAGGAGCTGAAAGGCTGCCACTTCATAAAAATGACTAAAGAATCGCTGCAGAGCCAGGATTCAAGCTCATTCAGTCTTTTTCACCACACTTGTGCTCAGAGGTTAGACAATATGGCTAAGTACAGACATTAAAAAAGCTGCTGGTGGAAAGCACTCTATTGCACTTTACTTAAAGTGTTATAAGTAGAGTGTGTTCCAACTGAACAGACATGCGCTATTCCAGGGGTGGGGGTGGGGAGCTTGATGCCTGCCTGCAAGAAGGGGGTGTTCCTGCATGCCTCCCAGGAGTCTGCCAGTGTACGCCCCTCTCCACCCACCCGAGGCCTGCCCCCACCTACCAGCTGGGGACTGTCAGCAACAGCTGTGGGGGGAGGGTGGGGAAGAGAGCTCATCCTGTGTGTGTGTGGGGGGGGCTGCCCAGCAGGGGGGCTCCTTTTCCACCAGCCCATCTGCCAGAGTTCCCAGCATTGTGAAAAATAGCACAGGCAACTTGTGTTGTGTTGGCTGCAGGTGGGAGAAGGGAGCTTCCCCCGCCATGAGGGCAATCTCACACCTTGCTGCGTAGGGTCTGACTTGGGAGGGCCAGGACCACACAGTAGAGCAAGCTCAATCCCTCTGGCTCCTGTGCCCAGTGCAGGGAAATGCTGGGCCTGCCCCTCCTGCAGTTGCTGGCTGCTGCTGTCATGAGGCTTGGGTAGGAATGAATGGAGCCCCACACTGAGGGAACCTGGCCCCCCAAAGACCCCAGAATGGCTTAAAATTGACAAAGGACAGAAAGACAGAAGAGAAAGAAAAGAAAGTGGAATTCTTTGGGCTAAGATACAAGGGTAGGGAGGGGCAAGCAGATGGAAGAAGAGCGAGGATGAAAGATAACAGGACCCTCTCTGAGGTAAATGCATTAAAAAGGTGCTGTTCCCTTCAGGTATTTTGGCTACCAAAATGTGTGTTGGATTATCAGTTCTCTCTAAACTAGAAAAGAGGTCAAATTAGAGGCGAATGCTAGAGGCCGAGTCTTCTTCATGCCGATGCTCCAGTGAAGTAATTTCATACCATCTGTGGATCTCGCCAAAAATATATCTCAATTATATATAGATTAGGATCAGATGAACCATTGCACTGGGAAAAATTAAGCTTCTCTTTTGCTGGAGAAAAAAAGATCACATCCCAGCCTTAGACGAATCTAAATATAAATAAGTAAAATAGGAATAAATAAATACAATTCTATTTTAAATTATGAATGTAATGGGAACAAGTAATTTGAAGAAAAGTATTATGAACCTAATTTTTAAATTAAAAAAAAAAGTCTTAACACATTTTTGCAGCTATTTATAACTGCCAATTTATTTGGGGTTATTCTGGAGGCAAATTATTTGAGCAATCAGGTAGAAAATATTGAAGAAAATAATGAACAAATAGCAAAAGAGAAATATACAAAGAGACGCTAAGAAACAGGTCAGCAGGATCTATCTGCAGTGAGTGTCTATTTAATAACAAACAACTTGCTGAAGAGCAAATAATAATAGGCAGCTCTGCCAAGAAGCATCCCTAATTTGGAGAATGACTATTACCTACACAACAATTAAAAGTACTAGAACACTAGTTGGCCAGGAGGCATTATTTAAATTACTGACATCATGACCTGAATTTTTACAGGGTAGCTACAGACATGCGTACCCTGGATTAAGTTAAGTGGGTCAGTTGTAAGAGGAGTTAAAAGTTTACTGAAACACCTGATCATCAATCTTTCAAAAACCACTGCTTCAGTTATAGCTGTGTTATTCATAGACTCATGTATATAGTAATACTCCAGGATCCCTGAAGGTCCTTCCAATATCCCCATGCAATAGCATAAATGAAGCACTTCAAATAATTAAGAATTCAATCTACCCAGGAGAAGCTTTCAAAGAATAAACGTTTTGTATATAATGTTTATTCTGCACAAGATTATGGTGCAAATCTTGCCATTTCCTCCCTATATAGGTCTTATGGTGGTGTAACTGGTACAGCTAGGGGAAGACATGGTTGCCATGTAGTGTGACTACTGTAAACCCCTACTAATGGATCTACATGGAAGTGATGACTGTGTGGTGGTCACTTTGTACTTCAAATTGAAGCAGGCCTATGATTTGGCAGCTGCTATCCTATTTAGGATCCACTCTGCCCACCCCATATCAGGAGGGGGCTAGAAAAGATCCCCTAAACACAGTCTATCTTATTTCATCTGACTGGGAAACTGTGTCAAATGGGATTATTCTATCTGCAGTCCATATCAAATAAAAGAAGTTGGAACATGTATACTGATGGACATCCCTAACAGTGACTGACTGGAGCAAAGGACAGCACTTGTGGCCAGAGAACTTGCTTGATTTGATACTGATGTTGCTGTACTTAGAGAGACCAGATGTGCAGGAGAGAGGCAGCTCACGTGGTATCATTCATTTCCATTATTTTTTGGAAAGGAGCGCCTCTCCCTCCGCCCCTCCCCCCCCCCCCCCCCCCCCCCCCCCCAAAAGATGTAACTAGTGTTGGTTTTGGTGAGAGATGCCAGAGTGTCCTGCTGACTCCAACAACAGTCTCATTACCTTTTGTCTCCAGCTGACCAACAGACAACATGCAACAGTCATCAGTGCATATGCCCCAACCCTTGATGCAAATGAACCAAAAGAACAGTACTATTCTAAACTCAACCAAGTGCTGTCATCTGTTCTCAAAGAAGATAAGATAATTCTTGGAGATTTTAATATTAGAGTGGGCAGGGATTCTGAACTATGGAAAGGAGCACTTGGGAAGGAAGGGGTGGGGAAGTCAATTCCAATGGACTTTTTCTCCTAAGCAATTGTTCAGAACATGATCCCATCACCACAAACTCCTTATTCTGCCAGCAATAAATGGAAGATATCATGATTTCACCCCTGTTCAGAACAATGGCATCTGATTGACCACATCATCATGTGTGCCCAGGATCACTGCAATATCTATGTCACTAGAACAATAACCACCTCAGATGATTGCTGGCCAGATCATCCTCTGATATGGTCCATCACATCCATTTGCAGTGCTACAAAATGTTGTAAACAAAATAATCAATCAAGGAAAAGGTTCAATATCGAGTGCTTGAAAGATCCTGCTAAAAGTGATCATTTCTAGTAATGCCTTAGTGAGAAACACTGACTTCCCTGATGATCCTGACATCATTGATCACTGAGAGAGTAGCAAGAAAGGCATCCATGAGGTGTGCAAAGAACCCTAGACTTCTCCACAAAGAAACATTGGGACTGATTCATTGAGAACGATAGGGAAATTGAAGTTCTCATTGACAGAAAAAGGAAAGCCTTCAAAGCTTGAAAGAATGACATCAACTCGGAATAGAAGCAAGACACTTATTGCCACATTAAAGCTGAGACTCAGAGGAATATTTGAGAATAAAAGAACAAGTAGTGGGAGGACAAAGCAGAAGTGATTCAAGTTTGCTGACAGCCATGACATGCATAGTTCTTCAATGTCAACAAAATTACATATGAGACAAACAGAAGGACCCATCACTCTGAGGCTCCTGAACCAAGATTCTAATGTTGAAGATCACACTATCAAAACCATTCTACAACACCTCATTAAGGACTACCTTGAAAATCCATCAACTTATCAAGAAACTGTGAAAAGCATTAAGTAGATGAAAAACAACAAAGCATGTTGTCCAGCTAGAGTCAAGCTGAAATTTATAAGCAAGGGGGAAAGAAAATCTCTCACCAACTGCACATTTTTATTTTGAAAATATGGAGACACAAATAGATTCCCAGTGACCCAAGAGATGCCAAAATTGTTACCATATTCAGGAAAGGAGATAGAACAGCTTGCAGCAATTGTCGTGGTCTTGCACTCCTGTCCATAGCTGGGGAAATCCTCACCTGCACTCTCTTCAATAAACTCCCCTTTCTCATTCTACCCAAGTCCCAGTGTGGTTTCAGACTACTGAGAGGTACAACAGATATGATTTTGTTGCTAGGCAGCTGCAGAAGAAGTGCCATGAGCAACAGTGAACTCTTGATATGGCCTTCATTGACCTGACTAAGGCCTTTGATTCAGAGAAAGGCTCTATGGAAAATCCTAATGAGATTTTGATGCCTGTTAAAATGTGTTACTCCCATCAGATTCCTTCATGAGGTGACAGCAACTGTCCTAAGCAATGGCTCAGAAATGGTCCCCTTCATTATTAGAACTGGAATCAAGTAAGGATATGTGATTGCACCAACACTTTTCCATATATATTGCAGCTATTCTACATATCATTGCTGACAGGCTTCTATCTGGAGTCAGCATCCAGTATCACATAGATAGGAATCTCTTTAACATCAGCTGGTCACATTCCAAATCCAAGATAACCAACGCTTCCATTACTGATCTTCAATACATTGATGACTGTGTGATGTGTGCCCACTGAAGACCTTCAGATAACTATTGATTGCTTCTGTGAAGCATATGAAATGGTTTGGGCCTACTGAACTTCATGAAAAACAAGATAGTTTACCAACCCACCTCAAGCCAACCAGCTGCTCCTCCACATATTACAATTAGAGGACAATCTTTAGAGGATATTGAGCATTCCCCCTACCTGGGTAGCCACCTTTCCCAAAAAGTAAAATAGACAATGATATGCAACATTGGACAAAATCTATCAGCATTACCTTTGGACATCTCTGAAACTGCATCTTTGATGACCATGACATCAAGACTGCAACCAAACTTCTTGTGTACCAGGCTGTTGGGTGTAAAACCTGGATAAGGTATCAGAAACATCTGAAAGCTTTGAGAAATTTCCAAAGCTTTGGGACATTTCCAAAGACATCAGCAATATCTTGGGAAAATCCTTCATATCAATATGACAGACAGAAGATGTCTGTCATATTGATATGACAGACATCTTCTGTTGTGTTCTGGCTCTACCAGTAATTTTATTGCACCAGCTCCATTGGACAGGACACCTCATAAGGGATACCTGACAACGAGCTCCGAAATCAGGTCCTATACTCCTAACTCACCAATGGTCACTACTCTAGAGGTGGGTGAAAGAAGAGATTCAAGGACACCTTGAAGGCCAATCTGCAGAAATGTGATATTAACATCAATACTTGAGACTTAAGCATTGAATCATCCCCAGTGCTACCATGGTGTGTAAGGTACCGATCGCTTTGAGCAAATTTGCCTCACTGTGAAGATGGATACACAAGACAGACAAAGGGAAAGAGCTGTAATCCAACATTATCAGGACCCACTCTGCTTTGCAGAACTATTTGCCATGTCTGCAGTTGAACACACAGAACTCAAATTGACCTCCCCCTCCATATTTTTACTGGGGTTAAATTTTGTATGGTTTTAATTCAATGAAAATACATTTTAAACCCGTATGTGTTAGGTGTGTATCACATGGATAGGAATCTCTTTAACATCAGCTGTTTACATTCCAAATCCAAGATAACCAACACTTCCATTACTGATCTTCAATACATTGATGACTGTATGATGTGCGCCCACTGAAGACTATTAACATGAAGTGTGTACAATGTTATTTACTTCTAATAAGTTATGGTACATTTAAAAAAGAGAGAGAAAAGGTCTGCATAGTTAATGTTAAAAGAAATTCCTCTCTTAGGTCTTCATGATGTGTACATGAGTACAATCACTCCCAAAGACAGTAATCTATGTTATATTTTTGCAATAACATCATTTCTACACACAGCAGTATGTTCCCATGTCACTGGAATATTTGTACACAAGTATGGCTTTACTTTTGTCCATCAAATTGCATGAGATAGGTTTTCAGTCCAGATGTTTTTCACCTTTGAAACTTTTTCATGATGTTTGGGAATTTCAAATGTGAGAGGGATTTTTCATAGATTTCATAGACATTAGGGCTGGAAGGGACCTCAGAAGATCATCGAGTCCAGCCCCCTGCTCGAAGGGCAGGAAGTCAGCTGGGGTCATAGGTTCCCAGCAAGATAAGCATCCAATTTACTCTTGAATGTGTTCAACTCCGATGGCAGGCTATTCCAGATATAATAGCTATTTAAATCCTGCATGGGGTATGAGATAGCAAAGTTTGGTACTGTGCTGCCAGAGCTCCTGATTCAAGTTCGGCTGATTACTTGTACTGAGAGTTTGTTACATTTCTTTTGCTGAATGTCCCTGCTGAAACATCTGGCTTAGAGTGTCTGGGTCTTAATGGAATACTTCAGTACAAAGCTAGTTCTTTTCCCAAATGGATGGTGGACAATATTTTATGGAGATGATCCTGAGGTACAAATATCAGATGTGAATCCATGTCTGAATTTTCTCCAGCTCTCTGGGTGCTCATTTCTCTAATGTTTGATTTAGCTTCATCTCTAATTCTGAGTTTTTTAAAAGAATCTCAAATGTTGATTAGCACTCGGTTCACCCTCCTCCTTCCACCAATTAATGAATAACCACTAGCACCACGATGAATATGGAAAATCCCACTATCAAAGCAAAATAGAATGCCTCGAGATCCTCCCAGTAATACTGCAAACAGGATTATATTTCAGGAAAGCTGTTGAAGCAAACATCATTGTTTGTACATTGAGAAATACCCCATGGCTATGTTGTCTGCTTTCAATCACAGTAATTCCTTATTGAGATTTAGACATTGTCTCTAAATGGCAAATCCTTATTTTGAATAATTATTATTCAAAGAATTAGCAACAATCTTCTCACATCCTCCATACAGAGTTGGGCTTTTTTTTTCATTTGTCTAATCTTTTATTCCCCACAACAAAGCAAACAAAAGCAGATTAAGAATTTAAGGTTGTACTTCCTTTTGATTTCCATTATGAAATTCTTTAATAATGCTATCGATTTAAGTGATTATACCTCAGATCTTTATAAAATGCTTATGGGGGAAAAAACCCCAAAACAACCACCCTCATTTGTTCATTTTATCCTTAGTAGGCATACTTTAATGGTTTGTACGTAATACTGAACAGGTTACCTTTGGAGGAAGGCAAACCTGTTCCAGAGATTATTTATGTGCTTAATACTAAATAGTCACCAAATAACATGCATAAGCAAGCCTTCAGCAGTCTGGACACAGTCTCTCTCCTCCCAGGTGAATGCTCTGGGAAGCTACAGGCTAAAGAGTCAAACTTGTTCTGTAATGCTGACTTGCCATGGCAAGCAGAAAGGTCACTTATAATAAAACAGAGGAATAATGGTGACTAGTTACACAATGGTGTATTTTGAGGTACTGTAAGAATAAAACACCATAACATGATGGCCCCATGATCAGGTTTCCTTTAAAGTATTTTTGGAGTAATGTCTCTGTAATTGTCCAGGAAATATATGAAAATGCAAGGATTTTGGGGGGGGGTGATTTTTATTGGACCAACTTGATTGACAAAGCCAACTTATTTAATGATTTCTTTGCCTCTGTCTTCCTCAGTAAGGACCAAAACTGCCACCTCCCTGCTAGGCCCCCATTGGGCCCCAAGGGAGGCACACCTGAGCCCAGGGTAAGTGAGGATCTAGTTAGGGAGCTGCTGGAGGGGCTGGACGTTTTTAAGTCAGCCGGTCCAGATGATCTCCACCCTAAAGTTCTAAAGGAACTGGCCGGGGTCATTGCGAGTCCCCTGGCGCAGCTTTATGAGCGCTCATGGTGCTCTGGAGAGGTGCTGGAGGACTGGAAGAGGGCCAACGTGGTTCCCATCTTCAAAAAGGGGAGGAAGGAGGACCCGGGAAACTATAGGCCAGTCAGTCTTACCTCGATCCTGGGCAAGCTGTTCGAGAAAATTATTCTGGCACACATCCAGGAGGGGCAGCAGGGAAATGCATGCTCAGGGGCAACCAGCACGGGTTCATCAGCGGCAGGTCATGTCAGACCAACCTGGTGGCCTTCTACGATCAGGTCACTAAATCACTGGATGCAGGGGTAGCAGTGGATATAGTCTTCCTGGACTTCTGGAAGGCTTTCGACACTGTCTCTCACCCCGTTCTCATTAGGAAACTGAGGGACTGTGGCGTAGACACCCACACAGTCCAATGGATCGCCAACTGGCTAGAGAGCCGCACCCAGAGGGTGGTAGTGGATGGGTCCTTCTCGGCCTGGAAGGACATGGGCAGTGGGGTCCCGCAGGGCTCGGTCCCGCCCTGTTCAACATCTTCATCGGTGATTTGGATGAGGGGGTGCAAAGCACCCTGTTCAAATTTGCTGATGATACCAAGATGTGGGGGGATGTGGGCACAATAGAAGGGAGCAACAGGCTACAGTCGGACCTTGACAGGTTACAAGGATGGGCAGAGGAGAACAGGATGGGGTTCAACACAGACAAGTGCAAGGTGATGCACCTGGGGAGGAACAACCAGCACCATACCTACAGGCTGGGGAACTCCCCTCTTGTCAGCACGGAGGTGGAAAAGGATCTTGGAGTCATTATCGACTCCAAGATGAACATGGCTCGGCAGTGTGGGGAGGCGGCTAGGAAGGCCAACTGTACCTTGTCGTGCATCCACAGATGCATTTCAAGCAGGACCAAGGAGGTGATCCTCCCCCTCTATGCGGCACGGGTAAGGCTGCAGCTGGAGTACTGCGTCCAGTTCTGGGAGCCGCACTTTAAGAGGGATGTGGACAGCATCGAGAGGGTCCAGAGGAGGGCCACTCGCATGATCAAGGGACAGCAGGGCAGGTCCTATAAGGAAAGGTTACGGGACCTGAACCTGTTCAGCCTCCAGAAGAGAAGGCTGAGGGGGGAATCTTGTGGCCTGCTATAAACTAGTCAGGGGGGATCAACAGGCACTGGGGGAGTCCCTGTTCCCCCGAGCGCCGCCAGGAGTGACCAGGAATAACGGTCACAAGCTGGCGGAGGGAAGGTTTAAGTTGGACATCAGGAGGCGCTACTTCACGGTCAGGGCGGCTAGGGTCT